AGCTTCATGCCTGTTACCAACTTCTATCAATTCTTTCTCTCTTTTTAAAACTTTTATTTTATTTATTTTTGGTTGCGTCAGGTCTTAATTGTGGCACGTGGGATCTTTCGTTGTGGTGCGCAGGCTTCTTCCTAGTTGTAGCACACAGGCTCCAGAGCGCGCGGGCTCAGTAGTTGTGGCGCGCGGGCTTAGTTGCCCGACCAGGGATCAAACCTGCGTCCCTTGGGTTGGAAGCCCCTGGGAAGTCCCAAATTCTACTTTCTCAATATATCTAATACCTCTTTTATTTTTAAAACGTTTAATTATTTTGGTAAGAGATGTGTACGCATGTATTTTAATCTAAATGCTTCACAAAGGCTTATAATGAAAGCCCTCAGCCATGCTAACAATCAGTCATCCCTTGCTACCCCTAGTCTTTTTTTTTTTTTTTTTTCCTTGCGTTATGCGGGCCTCTCACTGTTGTGGCCTCTCCCATTTGCGGAGCACAGGCTCCGGACGCGCAGGCTCAGCGGTCATGGCTCACGGGCCCAGCCGCTCCGCGGCATGTGGGATCTTCCCGAAACGGGGCACGAACCCGCGTCTCCTGCATCGGCAGGCGGACCCTCAAGCACTGCGCCACCAGTACCCCTAGTCTTTTGTTTTTAGTTTTACTGATTTTCTGTGGAAAAGGGGAAACTCTATTCAACAAATCTTTATTGAGCCCTTATGTAGGAGAGGTATAGTTCATTTGCAGGGTAAGCAACAGTGAAGAAAATAAACCTTGGAGCTTGTATTCTGGGAGGAGAGAAATGAGCAAAATTTATATAAAGTGTGTTAAGAAGATGCTTAAGGGAATTCCCTGACGGTCTAGTGGTTAGGACTCTGCACTTTCACTGCGGGGGGCCCTGGTTCAGTCCCTGGTCGGGGAACTAGGATCCTGCAAGCTGTGTAGTGTGGCCAAAAAAAAGATGCTTAAGTTCTATGGAGGAAAAGCCAAGAAGCGGGGGACAAGAAAGGGTGTGTGGGCTTGAGGGTGGATTGCTGCGTGAATTTAAAATAGGAAGCTGACATTTGAGAAATGACTCAAGAAGCTGATTGGATGTTCAAGCAGAAGAAATTTTAGCTGCAAAGACCCTGAGGCAGGAGTGAACCTAGTGGTGCTCGAGTGGAGTGAGGGAGGAGAGGCTTGTAGAGTGTGAGGTTAGAGTGTTAGTGGAGACTGGACAGGGAAGGAATAGTGGAGTCCGCTGTAATGATTGTCATTTGTTCCGAGATGGGAAGCAATTGTAGGGTTTTGAATGGAAGAGTGACAATCTGACTTACATTTTAAAAGATTCTCTGGGACTTCCCTGGTGGTCCAGTGGGTAAGACTCCGCACTCCCAATGCAGGGGGCCCAGGTTTGATCTCTGGTTGAGGAACTAGATCCCGCATGCATACCGCAACTAAGAAACCCGCATGCCGCAACTAAGAAGCCTGCATGCCACAACTAAGAGTCCGCATGCCGCAACGAAGATCCTGTGTGCCGCAACTAAGACCTGGTACAGCCAAAATAAATAAATAAATAAATATTTTTAAAAATCATCATCGTCATCTCTGGAGAATTCCCTGGTGGTCCAATGGTTAGGACTCAGCACTTTCACTGCTGTGGGTCTGGGTTCAGTCCCTGGTTGAGGAACTAAGATCCCGCAATCCTCGAGGTGCAGCCCCCCCCAAAAAATTGGCACTTCTGCTACAACTGTCAGTGGATCTCTTCCAAATGCACATCTTTGGATTTAAAATAAATAAATAAATTTTAAAAAATAAAAATGAAAAGAATCTCTGGCTGCTGTGTTGAGAATAAATTAGTAGGGAGGCCAGTTAGGAAGCCAGTGCAGTAACCCGGAGTGGTTCTCCCTGCTCCCTGATAGTTAGAACATAATAGCCTAGCCTTCCAGTACTGAATCTGCTGCAGAGGCCTTTGTGGTTTGGTCTCCTCAGTGGATTGTACCTCTGCCTGAGGCTTTAATGTATGCATTCAAACAGTTAAAAAGTAATTAAATAGGATTTCCAGTGAAAAGCTGTTTCCCTTTTCTCACTGTCCCTCAGACCTACAGTTACCCTCTTCATGTGGAGCCAGGTTGTTTCCAGATTTTGCTAGTCCAAGAAGTGCTGGAATGACCCTTCATGAGTCATTTCACAAATAGATGAATGTATCTGTAAGATAAACTAATAACTGGAGATTCTGGATAACTGGAGACGTAACTTCATAATTCTAATAAATATTCCTATGTCCCTTTTGATAGAGATTATAGCAATTTACACTTCAACTGGTTATTCAGGGTGCTTATTACCCTATATGGTCACCAGTACAGCATTAGCAAACTTTTGAGTACGTTTGCCAGTCTAATGAATGAAAAGTATTATTTCAGTACCCCGTGCATTTCACTTTGAGGGAGGTTTAACATTGTTAAATGAGTTTGGTATTAATATTTCCTTTTCTGTGAACTTTGTATAAATATTCTTTATTTATCTCCTCTGATGTTAGTGTTCTTGGTTATTTACAGGAGCCCTTTTTTTTATTAAGGGAAAAAAAGTTTTTCTTTAATTCAATAATACCTGTGCATAGTTACCACAAATGAAACAAAATAGTATACAGTTTGTTTACTTCTCTTCCTTAAAGACAAATACTATTAACAGTTTATCTGTATTCTTCCAGAAAGTGTCCCTCTCCAGATCGTGTGTGTATGTATGTGTGCGCACCATACCCACGTCCCCCCTTTTGTTAATGTGTCAGTAGGAAGAGCCTGTGTAAACTGTTCTTTACTTTGTTATTTTCATGTGTTTATCAACTATGGACCTCCTGATATATAGATTTACTCTCTTAATTCCCCCCATACACACCCACAGAAATTCACACATCCTTGCTCTGTATCCTCTTAATATACTTACTATAACACTTAATTCGGCTAGTAATACTCATTACAACTAAGTAAATATTTTTTATGGATGAGCCAAGTAGTACAAACCCTGTCTGTGTTTCCTTTTTACAGAATGCTTTATTCTTCCCGCCACTAAAAATTGCCTTTTTTTCACATGTTGATTGACTTTAAAAGCTGAAAACCAATAATATTCTGATATGATTGTATAAGAATTCTGCACAGAGCCAAGTGATATGCCTTCTCTACAGTTCTAGAACCATAAATACTGTACCTTTCAAAAATATATATTACTATGATCAAGATTAAATAGATTGTCTTTTTCTGGATTCCATCAGTTTCTTAAGATCATCTACATTTTAATTTGCTTCGTGACTGGACCTTGCCTTTTTTCAATTTTTAGATCGTTTTTCCTTTATCTTTTTCCTTTTTCACGTTTAATATATGCAAAAGGATGTGTGACCCATAATATGAGTAACTGAACCTGTCACTTAACCCAAAAACTAGAGCATTACCAACAACCTGCATCTATGTATTACCACTCCCCTATTCCATTTCTGCTTCACCCAAAAGGAAACCACTCTCCTGAAGTTTGTATTTTATCTTGGTTTTGTTTTTGTTCACAATATTTTTCCATAGAATTTTTTTTTTCTTTTGACTGCACCTAGCGGTATGCCGGATCTTAATTCCCCGACCGGGGATTAAACCCATGCCCCTTCACTGGGAGCGTGGAGCCTTAATCACTGGACCACCAGGGAAGCCCATCTGTAGAATTTCTGATTGGCTCTTGCAGGTGTGGATTTGTTCTCTTGTGCTCTCTGTCATATCCTCTATTAATTGGAATCTATTCTTCTTGAGCTCACCAATTTTCAAATCTCATTTAGACCTCCTTGGACCGTTATTTTCCCTA